TCGCCGGAATTCGGGATGAGTCGATGTTTTGAGGTTATATGCGAGGTGTTCATCGTGTTCGAGTGCGTTTCACACCTACCATGAAAGTCTTTGGTCTTTTCTTCAGAAGTGGCCGTTTTACCCCAACTATTGAGTTAATACGGCCTCTCCGGACGAGCTTGGATTCGTTCCTTTATCTCTCGGAATCGATATGATTGCTGTGCCGGACAATTATATGGATATATATACGTGTGGTATATATATAGTATGGTTCTCCCTGGTATTCATGCGACCTATCGAACGGAAAGGACAATGCGTAAAACATTATCTCAATCCCTTAATCCACGGATTAAGGGATTGAGTCCACGGTCCACGAACTGGAAATCCCGGCCTGGAAATCGGCCATCTCGTTTTTCTCTCGGAGACAATTCAGAGAATCGAAGTTGAGCGCGGCCCACGTTTTCTGGCTATGAATTCGCTTCCAATAGTCCCAATAGTCTTCTCTCCCCTAGACACTTTTTGGTCGAAGAAAGGTAGGTCTGGGCTTGAATACAGTTTGCGGGCAGGACATAGAAGTGGATTTAGCAAAATTAATTATCCTGCTGTATAATTAAAATTTACTCTTCTGATTTGGAATCATTAATTAACATTAATTAACATTGAAGCTGCTAAGATGTATGATCGGGGAGGGGGCGATGAAAGGGATGAGGAATATTCACGGAATTTTTCCAGGAATGCGCGATGTTATTTACACCATCGAAACCACTTCATTCCCATGCGAATACACAAAAACACTAGCGCCAGGAGTGACATCTGTGTGGGCCGCATGATGGTCTGCCTTTTGACCTGCCGGATTTCCTCCTGGCGACAAGCTGGCTTGTCTCTCAAATGTTTCTGAAAATCAATTGCTTGAATTTGGGGTGGGCTTTGGGGAAGAACAGTTTTCAGCGTGCCATCTGGGCCGCAAGAAAGCCTGTCGCTTCCTGTCTCTCTTCCGTCTATGCGAATGTTTCTTTTAGGACGTTCGCCCTCATTTGGTTTTCGAAAGGGGACATTTATGATGTAACAGGAAGAAAAGAAGTGGGATAGCCAATCGCCGAGGAGAGAGAATCTAATGTCTGTCCCGGAACAGGAAGGAGTCCTTTTATCCTTTCATCGACAGAAGAAGATTGTAGGGGAGGACGCACCGGTCACGTAGGAAGGGCGAAATGGGACGAAGAGCAGAAAGAAGAGTTTCACACCTAGCCCCATTTCCCCACGCGATGACGGATCCGGCTGCATGCCAACGAGCACGGTGGGATCCCGTCAGCTTGTGGCTCGGCGGGGCGAATGGGTAGGGGACGCAAAACTGGATTAAGGAATTCAGATGTATTCGTGCTAATGGCGAGCAGAATGGCATTGTCATCCGTATCAAGGCGACTCCCAACGTCACAGACGACGAGATCGATCTGACTGCCTTCGTTGCAATGATGGTTTCTCGTATTTCCTCGTAGTATCAAAGTGTAACCTAATGTAGTCATGGGTCTAGTGGTCATTTGAGCAAGAGATAATATTCATATACACTCACGTTTCTGATGATAAAATTCATTCTGCCAAATTTTCCAGTGGTGAAAATCTGAAATTCGCCACAAATCCATGCACCCAATTCATATTCTCAAAATATATAATGCCCTACTCCCAGCTCCCTTTCCAGATAAGGCGTCCCTGAGAGGGCGAATTTCTTCTGTCTCTTACTGTCTCTTCAATGCACGCTTTCCTTTACAAAACAGAGAATTTATTCAACTTTTTGAGAAGATTCATAATTAGCTCCTTGTAGTGGATGACTCCTGCCTGTTCGCCATGAAATCATGGTTATCAAGATCGGAAAAGTAAGAATCCATTGAACAAGGAAATGAAATACAGAATAAACTCCGCAAATTACTTCACCACAAATCATATGCTTTGCTCACGGCATATAACACGGGCCACGGTTTAAGGACATTTTAGAATGCATAAATTCACTGTGCTAAATATTAGCGTAAAACGCTTGAGAAAATACTTTTTCTGCAGTTGACGATCGAGAAGGCCCGAATGAAATATCTTTGAATTCCTGAAACACATCTGAAAAGCCCAGGTCGTATCACAACCATTACATTGGTACAATGTAATGGTAGTTGCGGGTGGGGGGAGCAAACTTCGCGGGGATTGCACGTGTATGTCATAGTATCTTGCTACACAGATGCGAACATCTGCGATCTTCGTGTGGTTGCCATCCATCTTCGCATGCTAAGATTTCCATCTATGGCGTCATCATGAGAGGAGGAGTTCTTCGACCCTCCAGGGATGGCGCTGGCACAACAGCTTGGTTCCTGATACCCGAGAGATTCCGTCAACAACAGGGTCCTCAGTTCGTCATGCCCTCATGAGATGGTGCCAGAAACAGCGTACTGAGTTCCAGATCCTCTCCAGATAGGAAGACTGCGACAGGAGCCTCAGAACTTCATTTCCCTCCCGAGTTGGCGCTGAATTGCTGGTGTTGGAAGTCCTCTCAATGAATATTTCGTTGGTTCTTGTCACTTTCGGTCTTCCTGGCAAAATGTAACTCCAATAAGCACTTTTAAGCATTAGAAATACGCACAATCCCTCAAACCCAATCCATATTCTCAACAAGTACAATGAACAAGGCCAAGGACTCACCCGTCGGTGGTGATCAGGTCCGCGGAGACTGGCGTCGAACGAGACCAAGCTGGGACTATTCAGAATGCCCGCTTGAAACCCCTTTTATATCCTTCCTTTCCCCCTTCGATGCACCGGTCGACCTTGGCACTCCCCCTTCCCACGCAGATATCCATCTCCCCTACTTCCGGCTTCCTTTCCACCTTCCCCCTTGCCCTGATAATGAGTCCTTTGGCTGATGAATTCTTTCCCTCTCGTTTCTCGCTCTCTCTTCGAAACATGCAATGCCCTTTGCACAACAGTGAACCTTGCCGACTTAGTGAAACGATTCATAAATAGCTCCTGGTATTGCATGACTCCTGCCTGTTCGCCATGGAACAAGGGTTAGCCAGATCAGACGAGGAAGAATGAATTGATTTCGGCAATGTAATTCAGAATAAACTTTGCATGGAGTTCGTCACCTCAAATTCGTCTTTACTTCCTCGTTTCAATGCTCTGCGTCTTCTTCCTTTCCTACATATAGATTAATTCACTTCGCCTGTGCTGCATGTAAATCCTCAATTGAAATGAAAATACAATTGAGAAATGACTTTGAATTTAGGCTAATGGAATGACGTTGAATGACGGTTTTCAACGTTTCAGATGTTTCACCGTGAGAAAGCCATCTTGGGGCATGTCGAGGGACGATCGATCCCTCGTTCTTCCATTCATTTCCCTAAGTCATCGGATCGATTTGCTCGTGGCATGTAAAATGGGTCCGGACTTCAAGACAAAGTTAAGAGGGCACGAGTTTCCGGTGCTATATTATTTAAATTCTGTGTTAAATTCTTGCTGCTGGAATAAAACTAATTCATGGTAAGACAGAAGGAAAGCGATGCGATAACACGCGGCACGAGAGAATAATGAAGCTGACCTCAGTGACGAAGATGCATAGAGCATGCATTAGAGTGGAGATACTCATGAGGTTCATTCACCAAGGTCGGATGCGATAATCAGAAGAGAATATTCATGAGGAGTGCAATATCTTGTGATTCTTCGGATGATGAAGTCGTGAGGCATCCTGCAAAGCTCGATGCCAGCCCTCTTCACGCGACATTGCTGACCACTCAGACGATCCAAGACGTCCAGGAGCAAGATGAGGAACTAGGGAAGAACGATTTAAAAAAAAAACATGAGTGTTATCTGTTGGTGGAAGGAAGCAAAGTTTTATGAGATTTAAAGACGCAGACTTCGCACAGGTTATTTTGCTTTACTAATCCCAGAAACGGAATATTCCTTCTGAATTGCTGAAAGAGGATGAAGAAAAGTGGGAGGAAAAGAAAAAAAATTATCAGAAATAATTCTATTAATTAATTTGGACAATCCTGTAGAGTGGCTTCCGCTTGATCAATCTGTCAGCTCGGTCGCATTGCCAGTCCATTCTTCAGCATTGAGGGCTGCGCATGTGAATCACAAAAGGTTAATAGGAGAGCAATATTTAACGTTCCGAAGACATAGAGACTAATAATAATGAAAAGGAAAACATGCAGGATTTTGCTTGAAGCACGAACTCCTCTCTCCAGCGATTTCCACCACACCTCATCTCCTGCGTTATAGAAAATATGGAATTAGGGAAGAGGGGATGAGTTCCATGGCGATTCATTAGCTATAATTACAATTCCTCGTCTCTTCTGTGTCCCATGGTAGAAAACTAGTCCTTCTCATTACTCATCGTGAATTTTAGGCAGAAAATGTATAAATATTAGTTATATGAAGAGGTCCCTCTTTTAAAACTATTCACCGCCTTGCTGTACCCTGCACAGTACCCAGAGAACAGTCGAGCAAACGTGCGAAAAAGGAAAATTGCATGGAAGAACTTACCTACGAGACTTGAATGAAAATGCCGAGATCCGATTTCGGTTCCATTATAGACGGAGGCCATCATCTGTGATCTACATCGTGCAATCTTTGAAAACGCCGCATATACGTACCTCAAACGTATTTGGGGTCCGAAAGCATTCACATCACTAATGTATTGCCATTCATTACGCACACAACCCATTCACACTAGGGAACAGCGTGGGGATATTGGGAACACATCGATGATGGAAAAATGAGAGAATAGACACACAAATACTTTGAACAGGTCACAGAACCATTGGAGAAGAAAAAGATACAATGAATTCTCCGATTAAGATTTAGGCTTCGATGGGACTGCGATAATTGAGACGAACTCTTCTGCCTCGATTTCTAAATTGACGTCCCTGTTAAATCACGGGGAATTCCTTCATATATCTTCTTCTTCAATAAATCACGTAAGTTGCATGCTAAATATTAAGTTGATGAGGTGGATGAAGTTGCAATATGTGACATCATAACTAGTAATGCTACAAAAGGGATTCTTCGAAAGATTGAAACTTACGGTCACAATCGAGAAGAGAAGGGGATGACCATTTCCCTGTTTCCTCGCAACGGCCAACTACAGTCGTTTGGAATGCTATGAGGCACATGTATTGGAAAGTGGTCCCGACTTTCCTCGACGTCCCATCCCAATTTGAAATGAAATGCATCGAAAGCAGCATCGGGTCCTCCAGGCATTCCACCCAGATGCATTTCTCGAGGGGTTCCCATTCTCCAGTTTCCAGGCAGGATAAGGTGAGTGTCTCGCCGGACGTCTCAAATTCCATCCCTCGAGGACAAGAATATCTAGGACGGTTGCCTGCAACGCTGGATCCATTCCAGAATCGAGCACCTCCGACAGGTGGATCAGGTGGATCGGAATGGCATTCCATTTCCAGGCAGACTTCATTTAGAGGCTGCCAACTCCCGTTTGGAAGGCATTCCTTCCTAACCTCTAGGGCTGTTCCATTGAACAAGTGGTTATCAGGACAGCGATAGGTGACACTGTATCCAACAGGGCTGAGATGGCCATTCCAATTCGAAAACCCTCCGTCCGGTGGTGGAGGTGGACTTCCAGGGCACTCGAACCAATTGCAGGTTTCATTTAATGTCTCCCACTGACCAGAAATGATGCAAGATTTCGTGACATTTCGACCCTCCGGAAAGGTCATGTGATCTGGGCAAGAGTATATCACATTGGTTCCGACTTCAAAGGATCCATTCCAGTCAAAAGTGACACCACCTGAGGGTTCAAAATGATGCAAGATTTCGTGACATTTCGACCCTCCGGAAAGGTCATGTGATCTGGGCAAGAGTATATCACATTGGTTCCGACTTCAAAGGATCCATTCCAGTCAAAAGTGACACCACCTGAGGGTTCAGGAGGGCCTTTGTCACACTGCATCGAAATGCATTTATGTTTCAACGGGGCCCAAAATCCGCTCTGCAGGCATTTCAGTACTAGGTGGTTATTTGAAACATTAGCAGGATAGAACTGGAAATGCTCATTGCATTTGTATGTCACATTTGAGCCCTGTATTGCGCAGCTTCCCGGATTCAAAATAATCAAGCCATTTTCCAGGTCAGGAGGCGGCTCTTCACACACAGTAATGCATGTTTCATTCAAAACTTCCCACTTCCCTCCCAGTTGGCAAGTTTTCCATACCGACCGAATACAACCCTGGAAAAGTTTACTGGGACCACACGAATACTCTGCCTGAGCACCCACATTCTTACTACCATTCCAGGATTTATTTCCTCCAGAGGGAGCTTCAGGTGGGTCCAAGGTGCATGGGACAGGTAGACATAATTCCAATAATTCCTCCCATGTTCCATTCGAAAGGCAATGCCTCAAAACATGGCCACTTCCAATGGATGAATTAAACGTGTAATGTTCTACACAAGTGTAGGTGGCGGCACTCCCAACTTCATTGTTCGGAACCCACGGTAAATTCCCATTTTTAGGAGGAGGAGGAGGATCCATCAAGCAGCGTGTCCAATGACAAGGTTCGTTAAGGCTCTCCCACTGCCCAGTCACAAGGCACGATTTATTTGTCGAATTCTGACCATTGGAGAATGCTTTTCCCTTGGGACAGAAGTATGTGACATTCATTCCTGCCAAGGATGAATTGTCCCATTCCATAGATACATTAAGAGGAGCGACCTCTGGTTGCTGATTACATTTCGGTCTATCGCAATAGTCTTCTAAAGGGAACCATGTCCCAGATTCAGCCATACATTCCGACTGTATGGAAGAAGTCTTGGACTTCGTGAATATGTAGTTTTGAATACAAATATATTTTACTATAGTGCCAACCGCTTTGTCTTTTCCATTCCAGTCCCACTCCGATGAGCTAGGTGCACTTGGGGGATTTTGTGGACAGAAGGTCCAAATGCAACCTTCCGTTATGTTTCCCCAATTTCCGGTTGACAGGCAAGTGATGTTTCTCTCCGTGGAATTATCAGGAAAGGTCTTGTTTTCATCGCATTGGTATGTGACATTGTCCCCAACACGATAATATGTTCCATTCGAGTAAATGGGCTTAGTTCCAGTTACATTTGGGGGATTTTGTGGACAGAAGGTCCAATTGCAACCTTCCGTTAAGTTTCCCCAATTTCCGGTTGACAGGCAAGTGATGTTTCTCTCCGTGGAATTATCAGGAAAGGTCTTGTTTTCATCGCATTGGTATGTGACATTGTACCCGACACGGAAAGATGTACCATTCGTGGAAATGAGTACAGCTCCCGTTACATTTGGGGGATTGCCGGAACAAATGGAAGGCACGCACTGCAAAGGTACATGCTCCCAAGTCATATTCGCCTGGCACCGGCTCTGAATCTTGATGACGTCCAATCCATCCTTGCTTTTTTCATAGTTACGATTCTGGAGTTTAGATTCATTCACGGAGAATCGGTATCCAACAAAACAGTCGTAGGTGCTGTTATTTCCGATGAGCCTCTCTTTCTTGTCCCATACTAATTTCATTGATTCATTGGCAGGTGGAGGGTCAGAAGGGCAGTAGGAAGGTACGCAGTCTTCCACCTCCGACCAGTATCCTGTGGTCTTACAGATGGATTTCTTCGTGGCATTCGAGTCGCGAATGGAAGAGTAGGTGTAACCAGATTCACACCTGTAGGTGGCTGTTGCATTGATCAGCTTGGAATTCTGCTTCCACGAGTGTAGGACCGCATGGTTCACCGATGGGGTTGGTTCATCGAAGCATTCGTAGAGGATGCACGTGATGTTGTTATGTCTCCACTGGTTTTCGATGCACTGGAATTTTGGATGTTCAGGCCAATGCAGCGAAACGCCGTCGATACTATTGTTGTAGTGCGTGTTGCACTTGTACGAGAGGATGCATCCGTTTAGAAGATCTAAGCAGTCTGCGTGCTCCAACGACGGTTGAGTTTCACTCTTCCCACAGGCTGGAAGATCAATTCACTATTGTTGCATGACTTAATTGACTTCATTTACAATTTCAACTTTAAGGCCAATTACTGTAACAGGAAATTTTGTTTAAATTGATAATATTTAACGAGCTGTATTATAGGGATTGTTGCTTTTGTATTAGGTGAATGCATTAATAATTAGTGTTAATTACAAAAATCCTTATTCATGTTCAATATTTTTCACTTTGAAATTGAAAAAATTTTGGCTAGAATTTACCTTATTTATTCAGATCATCATTTTCAAAATATAAAGCACCTAAAACCAATAGTTGCCTCTTGAAATGACTAAAAGTGATGAGGGTATAGGGCAACAATTTTCAGCCATCTCCTATCATTCCTACTACTTCAGGGCAGAAACTTTTAGATCGCCCCTCGTAGTAACTTAGTCCGGAGAGGCATTATTTGACGCGCCAACATGTCATGTAGTTCTCAAAGCATGTTGTGTCTTATGCATGTTACCTACTGAGTGAACTTAGTGCCTTTTCCCATACATTGGGAAAACATGCCATGCCTGAATTCTCCCATCGAAACCTGGAAGACACACTATTAAATTTCTTCCTCAGGAAACCCTCTGTGTAAACCATCAGGAGAAAGGAACTTGCGAATGCCCAACCAGTCAGTCTTCACATTTTGGACTTCTCCTTGCGACCAATTTTAGTACGAAAACAAGTTTCAATTAAGGTTTTAACATTTCCATTAGGCATATGGTACCTGTATGATTCTTATTTGGCCGACTCAGGCTTTTGTCCTACATTCCTGCCAAAATCATAATTTGGTCCATGTGAATTGCCACGGATACCATCTCCATGTCTTCTATAGTAATATCCGCTGGGAAAAGAGGGAAATTACTCATTAATCCCATAGATACTACTTGAGAATGGCAGTGTCAATGTGCTTGGGGGCGACCATTTTGAATGTTTTTTTCAGTTGCCCCAAAATCCAACCTATTCTAATAATACGGACGAGTATCCAATAGACCAATGGGAATCTTTGCTATTTGGTATCTATTTCTTTCGATCTGGAGCATGGCAGTGCGCATGCTCCAGACCGAAGGGAAGATGTGCCAAATGGCACCGACTCCCTTCGGTATATACCCTTTCAAGGCTGGACCAAAGGGAATTTCTGCCATTTGGCACCCATTCCCTTTGGTACAGGGCATGCACGGTTTCTTTCTCTAGGATAAAATATTTTTACCGTATGGAATATTTCCCCTTTAGACCTTCTCAATTCATGGAACCCCACATGAACGCAATAAATTAATTCACTGTCATCAATCTCTACTTAAGAATCCCTAAGAATCACCATAATACTTTTCTTGGAACAATGAGCCACCTTTTCCCCAATTCGAGATGAGTACTAATGCAATTCTTCATAATGGTCAATAAATATTTTAAGAAGGTTGTCAGCATCCAACTGCAAAAGTATCTCAAAGGGTATGCATAGTCAGATGGCGTGAAAACGCAAGACATGTGGCTTCACACTATGAGATTTCCTTGAAACACGATGGACTCGACAAATGCATATCCTGATGTACCTCAATTGTCTACATGGCTAAGGAGGTCTAGGGAAGAAATTATTGAGATCGGAAATATTTACTCTCGGACAGGAGGAATGCTTGTCCAATTTACCGATTGTCTCCATATATTTTGAGCAAACCAAGAAAATCAATGCCATTATGCACGTCAGTACGCAATATGAGGACCAAAATGTATACATATTTGGAAATGTGGCTAATTCAAATATCAATTTCTTAATCAAAACTTGTTGAAGAATTTAAATTTAGATACAAACACATATCTATGGAACTTTTTAATTTTTAATCTCTAAAACTCTCATTTAAAGATTGGTTTCAAAATGAGAAAAGCATAAGGTAATCGAAAAGTTAGGTCCGCCCTTTTTTAATGCCTGTCTCTGCTGCTCTCAATCGCTTCCGACAGACTCAGAAGTAATTAATGAATGGAATGCGGTGGTATGTAAACACGCTACTCCTTGCATAGACCTAACACTTATAATACGTTTCGAAATCTTCCCCCGAAGATATTCAGGCTTTTAGGCGAAAGTATTTGGAAATTACCTTCAATGCAAGTGGTCATGGAACGGATGTCATATTCAATATTTCCATAGCACGTGAAGCTTTTTTTCCTCGTCTCTGGTTCAGACCCAAGCCACACCTGACCGCAGCGACATCGGACTTGTACCGCTTCCCCATATGCCGTGTAGAGAGGCCAATGCGATGCGTATTTTGTCATGGTACGGAATTCCCCGCAACCTGTAGAAGCCAATTGTTTAGTTTCATCGTAACTCTTCCTTAGAAAAATGACGAGATCCCCGTGACAAATTATGCATCGCAATGAGGTCCCAACCTTGACAGAAAAAAGGAGATAGGGTTGTTAAAGTTGAAGTTGGAACTTTGTCTTTTCCACCCCTAAAAAATATTTGATATGGAAATGCATTGTCTACAGGAATTCCGGAAACTTAATTGCCGAAATATATTTTGGAATTTCGTTCCGTTTAGCTGCAGATTTGAGAGAAACGAGGTTTTAGGCACATAAATGGCAAAGTTCAAACTAGGAATTTTTCATTCAGATCATCCTGGGGAACTTGATTATCTAAGTAACATCAAACGCAGGAACGTGACATCTTTTCCATTACATTCGGTTCTACGTGTCTCTCTATTGTTGCTCATTCATACATAGCCTACATGTCAACTTTTCTCCGAGTTAGAAAAATATATGAAATATCGACTTTTTATGCAATGTCTGCTTTCAATTTAGAAGCTATTAGATGAAGCTGAAGAATTTTGAAATTAGGAAACGCCATTAAAACTCCAGGGAAATAATTTCACTTCCAATTTGAAGCCTTTTTCCTATGATTTTATAAATCCCCCAATTGAAGTCAAATGCAAAATTTGATTATGTAGAGTAGTCCTCAGAGTATAGAAAGGACAAGCAAAGTAAAAACTGACTATCGTTGACGTGGAGCTGACAGAGTGCCCAGTCGAGCGGCTGAGAGCAGTTCACGTCCCGGAATCCCCCATCGTTGAAGGGATCCAGAGCGGAACAATGTCCGTTTTCAGGGTCATTCGGATGACCCAGAGAAAACAGGTCATTTGATATAGGTTCTCCGTCCCGGAATTTCCAGAAACTGGTTGCATTATAGGAACCATATTTTGGCAGTTCCCCGTCCTTCCAAAGCTGTCTGGAAAGAAAGGATGTATATTTAGAAATCTAGAAACGTGCTAGCGAGCTAAATAAATACTACTCGATATTCCCCATTTCCCGGATTCCAGAGATAAATATGCAACATGGTTCATTTGTTCAGGGGGCCGGAAAAGCGGAGAAAGGGTTGGTCTATGATGGGAGCAAGATGCATAAAGAAGGTCGACACAGAGTACGGTGCGATTGTTACCACCGTTGCGGTAATCTCGAAAGAAGGCTCTCTCAATAATACTTTCCTCGAGACAGGACTTACTCCTGACTATTTTCAGAATGTCCTTCCTGAGCTGTCTGCTCTGATCGGTCCTGATCCGGAAGTTATTTTCATTTTGAATAATTCAAGGTTCACTTGAAATGCCCAACCATCCATGGCAATCATTCGATGAAGTTCTTGCCACCATGTACTTTTCATACCTTTCTCGGTGCCATTGAGCTCACACTCTCTGGATTTAAGGCAGAAAGCAGAAAAAATGTGAGCAGTGGACCGAACTCCATTTGTTACCGGGCTGCAGCTGCTGACCAAAGCTTGACAGTGGAGCTGCACAGGGTTCATACATAGTCAGAAGCTGCAATGGCAGCACTTCCTGTGTACACACCAATTACTCTCGGCGATGCTACGAGCATACATACCAAGAAAGAAAGCGTTTGGAATGAGAACCTTTAATGAAATGAACCCAGAGCTCGAATGAGAAATGTTTTCCTCCTGCTTTAGATCTTTATGTCTAACTTCCCGTCCTGAGATGTCAAAGCCTGCCAATGTCTGTATATGTTGCCGTTGATGAAAAATCCAGAATGTATGTGAAGGACATGTGATGTTTCGATAGAGGGAGAGTGGGCGAGAAAGATGGAGTGCCACCCATAGGGTCGCCTCGAAAGTCTGTCAGGATTCCAGGCGATTATCCCATCCAAAGAAGGGGATAACCCACCACTGAGTTTTTTCGCTGAAAGGGAAATTACTGAAAGCCTAAAGAGAATAAATTAATTCGAATATTCTCTCCCTTTGGGCCAAGTACAACTGTTCCTTACTGAGTGATTTGATCTTTAAATATAACTTACAATATGTTGTATGGGAGGGGAGCACATCCATCGTCAACGTATTTCATTATTGCCTGCGCGACAAGTCCAATGTCTGTTCTGTTCCTCAATTCCGGCAATCCTGTCGAATTGAATCGGTCGTGACAGAAAGCTGCAGCTCCAAAGTTCCCATCAAGAGGACCATTTTTCGGCTTCCCAAGCACGAAGCTTCCATTACCGACTTCGAAGTACGGGTACACTGGAAATAATCAATCGAAAGCAAATAATGGATGGGTGCCTTTCGTATCCAGTTGGAAAGAGAGAGTACAGTCTCTAACCTTCTTTGCATGGTGTGACATTTGTAGGATACCAGGTGAGATTCTCATTACAGGTGAGTGAAAGCTGGAGGGATTCATTGTGAATGCAGTAAACCATGGATCCCACAAGGTAATGGTCGGTGAAGGCTATGGCATCCTCGTCACCAGGCAACTTGCATGCTAGGACGGAAGGCCCGGCATGAAATGCTGAATACGAGTTCCCTCCAAGTACGAATGCAAAGGTAAGGAGAAAGAAATCACTTTGGGTCCCATTCAAGAATAGGGCAAGTGGTCGAACTTTGAAGTCTGAAATTCGTCGCAAAAATTATAAAATGCTGAATACGAGTTCCCTCCAAGTACGAATGCAAAGGTAGGGAGAAAGAAATCACTTTCGGTCCCATTCAAGAATTGGGCATGTGGTCGAACTTTGAAGTCTGAAATTCGTCGCAAAAATTATTTGATTTTTAAATTAATTTCTCTTAGTCTTACTCTGACTCCTAATAGGTCAACGAAAACGTATGTGATACAATAACCATCGAGAGCCAAACCAGAAGCCTTTTAGAAATTTGTCTCTTCTCTGCAAAAATACAAGGAAATGTCAGTTAATAATACATTAGAAATAAAATAAGGAACGGTATACCGTAATTTTTAATATTATTTTGCGCCATTTGTTAATTTCATTAGTGCAATTATATTGGTAACATAATATGATACAGTGGACAGATGCTTACTTGTATTTGGTTGAGGAATACATGCCATGGATATATTTATTGGTGTCCATTCCCCATTGTCCTGACATGTCCATGTCTCTAGGGTATNCCATTTGTTAATTTCATTAGTGCAATTATATTGGTAACATAATATGATACAGTGGACAGATGCTTACTTGTATTTGGTTGAGGAATACATGCCATGGATATATTTATTGGTGTCCATTCCCCATTGTCCTGACATGTCCATGTCTCTAGGGTATTCCCAGAGGAGAAGGAAAAGTTTTTCAGTCCACATTCTAACGTGACGTTGCTGCCTGGTGCGTACCTGCCCTCGAGATCCGCGGGCGTTGACACATTGATTGCCTTTGTGTACGGGTCGCCCTTGCGTGGCAAAAGAATCGGAGGGCAGAAGTCGCCTGGATCGGTAAGGAAAAAACAATTTGTTGATCGCGATCGGGTGAAGAGGTTACACCACAGCCTTCAATGCTTATTCTGGATTCTCACACCCAATACTGAATTCTCAAACCCAATGAACCAAACCTAAAATACAACTTCTTTTGTAGGCAGGAACTAACAGGGCATAATTTAACATGCCGTCTTTACAGTCCACTCCGAAACATTTACGTAGGTAACATAAAATCTTTCAAACTCACTTCGAACCACATGGAAACTGATGTAGTTCCTCGTTTATGATGGTTTACAAGACAATATGAAAAGAAACAGACTTTGACCTCTGTCCTATTTTTTTCTACCAAAAAGAGAGTAATATAAGCCGTAATGGAATGTCAAATCTGTGGAAAGCAGTTATTATATATTAATACTATCTTGTAATCCTGCATAAAATGAATTCATACTTGTTCGATTTATATTGGGTTTACGTTTGCTCTATGTCTTGTTGTCTCTATGTTCTTTCCTTAGACTCTTTTAATAGTACCGACAATCTCGGCTTGGACGTCTGTAAAACAGTCATTATTTGCTTTTTTCCCAGGTAATGTTGCGACACCATATGTGGGGAGCATAATTTAATCGAAAGGTCAGGTCAATCATATATTTATGACCTTTTATAATTTCCACAACTTTGGAAAGTCTCAGATAAAACTATTGCTTGAAGTTCAGTGATAGGTAAGGGCTTTACTTATTCCATAGACTTAAAACATATTGCAAATTTCGAAATTTTCTTCCCAATGACTCACCCTTGATACACGTTGTCATTGAACGGATGTCATATCCAATGTTTCCATAGCACTTGAAGCTCTTACTCCTCGTCTTCGATACGGAGTCCGGCAAATCTTGACCGTAGCTGCAGTTGACTTGTGCCGCTTGCCCATATAACGTCAAGAGAGGCCGATCCCAAGAGTAATTTGTCACGGCAGGGAATTCCCCGCAACCTACGAAAGCCAATTGTGTAGCAATATCTGAGGTCTTCCATAGGAGCATGACATGATTCTAGTGACAGATTATGCAACGGGATGAGTTCATAAATATGGAATAAAAGAACAGGGATATTAAAGTTGTACCTTCAATTCCGTATCCAGTACCAAAATTGGAAGAACCATGGAATATGAAAACGCCACGAAAACGAATGGCAACTATCACTCTTCTAATTTACGAAATTTCTCACATGCTTTTAAACATCTACCAATGAAGTCATACGCAATATATAATCATAAAAATTTCCTCAGAGTAAAGGGATGAAGTTAAAAAACTGACTATCGTTGACGTGAAGCTGGCAGAGTGCCCAGAGGAGTGGCTGAGAGCAGTTCACGTCCCGGAATCCCCCATCGTTGAGATCGAGAGCGGCACAATGTCCATTTTCAGGGTCATTTGGATGATCAGGTGAAAACAAGTCATTCGAGATGGGGTCTCCGTCATGGAATTTCCAGAAAATGGTCGAATTGTAGGGACCATTCCCTGGCAATTTCTCGTCCTTCCAAAACTGCCTGCAACCAAAAGGAACTATATTAGGGTATCTATTGTAGAAGGGTGGTTAGACAATATAAAAAAATTATAGTACTGCTGTTCTTGCTTATTGCCTTCTTTTCTTAAAAGGTGTTATGTAATAGAATGGTTTCAATTAGTAATGGTTTATTGTGAGACCGGAGAGTTTGTGTGGAACAAACATTATTTGTAGCAATTCACATGATCTTGAGTGTCATCATCTAACATAACAGAGAATAAGAAATATTCAAGCCTGGGGAATGCCACAAGACAGAGTAATGATCTCGGAGTACGACCATTTATATTTCGTCCTTTGTCAATAAATGACGTAAGTCAAATAATAAGAACAGGTTTGTCGCCATGAAGAAATCACTTTTCTAAATAGTGGTTAACAGTGCAAAAGACCTTATTGAACTATGAGATACTTACCTTTATGTAGGGGCAAACTTTAATTCCATATGATCACTCATTTTCAATGAGAAACGCACACATGCCTCATCAAAGAATTGAATGAAGCGTAACATGAAACTAAATTTAATGGCATTGAATTACTAATATTATCTGTATTAGATACAGTAGAAAATATATAGATACCTTACGCAGCGCATTTTGTAATTTAAGTATTTTATGCGACTACATTAAATTATGTTCAGATGCAGTTCCGCAGATGTCAATTTTTACTAACTGAAAAGTTGAAAATACTCCTAAAAAATATATCAATACAAATTTGATACACATATTTAATTCCCTCAGATGCATATACGGTTGTGAAATGATTACACAATAGCATAAACATGTCACCTTCTCACAATAAGCCATCACAGAATTCTGGCCTTGAGAATATCATACACTATCAGCACATTATTGAGAAAATATTTGCTGAGAAATGCAAACGCAAACGGAGCCATTGATAAGGTATCAGATTTACAAAAATATATAATATTCCAAACGATCGAATTAAAAAAATAGAAGACGTTGGCCTTCATTAAATTTCGGCCAATGTTTTCTATTTTGCCTATGTCGGATGCATTTTGAATTTAATCTCTTCATGGATCTCATTTACTCTTGAAATATATCCTTAAGAAAACTTCCTCTCTTCAAGTTTAACTCGCAGTATGTTGTATGGGAGAGGAGCGCATGCATCGTCAACGTGATTCATGATAGCCCGCGCCGCAATTCCCATTTCTGTTCTGTTTCTCAATTCAGGCAATCCGGTTGAATTGAATAGTTCGTTGCAAATACTAACGCAAAAGCAAATGCAAACACGGTTTCAGATGTGGAATCCGAATGACGGTAACAAATCTCATGTACACGATGCTCTTCGAATGATTCCATCTTCAATAACAACTCACAATATGTTGTACGGGAGGGGAACGTATCCATCAACGTGTTTGAAGACATCCTGGACCACAAATTCCATTTCTGTTCTGTTTCTCAATTCAGGTAACCCGGACGAATTGAATTGTTCGTGACAGAAGGCTGCAGCTCCAAAGTTCCCATCGAGAGATCTATTTTTCGGCTTTCCAAGCACAAAGCTCTTATTTGCGACTTCAAAGTACGGGTACACTGCCAATGAAACGATCAAATTAATGACTGGACTGGATTAAATATCCAGTTGCAAAGAAGAGAATGTATGTCCTAACCTCCTTCGCAGGGTGTGAAACCTTCAGGATACCAGGTGAGATTCTCAGCACAGGTGAGTGAAAGCTGGATGGATTCATTGTGGATGCAGTAAACCACCGTTCCCACCAGGTAATGGTCAGGTAAAGCTATGTCATCCTCGTTACCGGGCGATTTGCATGCTAAGACGTAAGGGCCGGCATCAAATTGCAAGTTCAAGTCTTGGCAAAGTACGCAAAACTGGACGCAATACATTTTCTTTGATGCACAGGCATGTAGAAAGTAATCGCTATTATTCAATTTTAAGTATTGCGTAAAGAATCAAACTTCGAATTACAAGTGAGTCACTGAAATAATTCTTTTTTTGCCCTTTTCCCCAGATATGTCCTGACTTCATGATGAGCAATGAAGATGTGGGCATGGCATTACGTACTAAGGATAAAATTAGCGGTCCATTTGATATTTGCTTCATTTCTCTGAAACATTCCGTAGATTTATCGTCATACATTGCACCTGTCTGTCAGAAGATATAAAATTCGACACATATCGCACATAGGTAGAAAATAATTTTCGCCATTAAAATTATTAGTTTATTAGTGCAATTTCATGCATAGCATAGTCTGATACGGGGGGACAAGCTTACTTGTATTTGGGTGAGGACAGCATGCCACAGATACGTTTTCCGGCGTCCATTTCCCATCGACCTGACATGTCCATGTCTCTCGGATCTTCCCAGAGGAGAAAGAAAAGTTTGTCTGCCCACACTCATACGTCAGGTTACTGCCTGGCGGGTACATGCCCTTGGGATCCGTGCGCGTTGACACATTGATTGCCTTCGTGTAGGGGTCCCCCTTGCGTGGCAAAGGAATCGGAGGGCAGAATTCGCCTGGGTCTATAAGAAAGGCATCTTGTCGATCACGATTGGATGAAGAGGTGCTACCACAGCCACGAGAGTAAGCTAAGTCTTAAGGAAAAATTGCCCAGTGCAAAACTGCTTTCATTTTAAGTCCGTGATTCTTGATTGCACTGTGACGAAGGCACAGGAAGTGATAAGCCACTGATGTTGTAAAGCTACTATAGAATCACGCTGTATATTTACAACTTCTTCTAATCCTGTTGAAGCCAAAGTCATCATTATTCAATTCATAATTGGTCCAAATGCTTGATATCCATTCTTAGGGGCACAAAGAATTTACCCCATAGAATATGGAATTGGATTTCTAAGGCAGTATGCAATAATAAGAATAATTAGCTCGATAATGTTCGACCACTCTATCAACACATTTTCGACTTCCTCTAGCGACCATTTAACGCTGCAGAGAATCTCTGTCTGGGGAAAATAACCTTTCTTAAACCTATTCATGAATCAATATTCCCTTTGATTATTGGGTGAAGATACAGGCTCTATTTCTGGAATGGATGATCAAAACGAAAGATCTGTAATTTCTGCTTGCCCTTCTTTGCCGAGTTGTACCATTTATGACAGACTGAGAATAAATTAATACTTAAATTGCAATATTAGGTAGACTCGTTGCATAGAGCTACAACTTTTGGTAAGTTATGAAGGATTTCTCTTGATAGATTAATATCTTTTGATGAATGAATCAGGAACACACCTTCGACACACTTGGTCATGGAACGTATGTCATATCCAATATTGCCGTAGCACTGGAAGTCCTCCCTCTTCGTCTTTGGAATGGAATCCAGCCACACTTGCCCGCAGCGGCAATGGACTTGCATCGCTTTCCCATATGCCGTGAAGCGAGGCCAATTCCAAGTGTAATTCGTCATGGTACTGAATTCCTGGCAACCTTTAGGAGTCCATTGTGCAGAAGCATATGAAGCATTGTATATGATCCTAACGAGATTCCTCTACATATTATGCATCGCGAAAAGTTCATAGAAATGACAGGGAAAAAGCTAATGAAATGGGGGAAATTATACAGGAAAAATGTTTTGACTTCGAAATGTAACTTCGGTAGGAATCCAATAAAATGATTTGGCAAAGTAGATCCCGAAATGTCTTATTGTTTTGCAGGAGACGACAAAATTTTAACATTTTACCTCTGGGAATGACTTAGTCTATACTAGGAATCTTCCACTCTAAAGGGTCCTGGGAAATTTAGTTTTTTACATTGTAATATCACTGCAGAAATATCAGTTTCTGGAAAAATAGGACCTCCTTTCTGTTATTATATTTGCGCTGACATACGTCTCCATTCGACGAATGGTGCTCACTCATGGCTTGCCTGCATGCAAAGTTTTCCTTGGGTGAATGAAGTATGAATCCTCTACAATTTACTCCTTTACGTCACATTCAGAAACTAGCAGATGAAACTGAGAAAGTGTAACATTTTGAAGTGTCATGAAAAAACATGGTAACTCCTCCCTCACTCAATGTAAATACTTTTCATGAGGTTTCATACAAATTCGGATAGAAGTCACGTGTGAGCAATATGTTTAAATGTCCTCAGACTATAGGAACGAAGTAACAAAAAAAAACATACTATCGTTGGCGTTGAGCTGACAGAGTGCCCAGTCGAACGGCTGAGAACAGTTTGCGCTCCAGAATCTCCCATCATTGAGATCCAGAACGGAACAATGTCCGTTTTCAGGGTCGTTTGGATGACCTGGTGAAAATAGGTCATTTGAGATGGGGTCTCCGTTCTGGAATTTCCAGAAAATGGTCGAATTGTAGGAACCATTCTCTGGCAGTTTCCCTTCCTTCCAAAACTGCCTGGAAACCAAGGAACATTATTATTGAAATATATAGAATTGTGGCGAGAACATATGAAAATAAGTATTTCAGTATTGCTGTTCATGCTCAATACCCAACTCTTGAAACAGATGCCATCAAGTGTGGCATACATATTCCACAATCATTGAACAAATATGGCTTTCATGGGGCCGAATCACTTTCATCAAAGGTTCATACGTAGTATATCGAAGGACTGGAAAAAGGAGCAAGTAAGACATAAGTCATTATCATCATCATTGTTGCTATTTGCTGCAGGATACAGAACTAAGGCCTCCGTCATTTTCTGATACGGATTTTGCAAGAAACGTTTTGAATGACAAAATCATTTCACGTTATCACCAATTCCAGTTTTATAAATGTCAATTTTTTCCACTAACTGAAATTGCCTTCAAGACCAAATCTTTTGAAGGGACTCTCAGGTTCAACTGATATTTGGCAGAGAGGCGGCTCATGTAACGTTCGAAGGATAAAATACAAAACCTTACAGGTTTCTTTTGCCACCTAAAAAGTGAAGTAGCCAAAAGATCCCCAAGAAGGGCCTGGAACAACAGCGCCATCTTGCGGAATCGAAAAACCTCTTAGGCTCATGAACTTCTCTGTCAAGCATCAGTTGCAACCGACCGTCTCTTGAATAGTTATGGTCAATCAAAATAAGGTGGTGACATTATGATAACCGTGTAGTCAGGAATTCAATATCCAGGGATTAGGTGCCATTTTGTGCCCCCATTAAGAAATTAACAGTCACTTTTATCGGCCTCCGCTTGAAGTACAGACAATGCTTTTTGTCTGTGGGCTATTCTCAAAATAATCCGACGGTTTGCTAAATTTAATTGAATTCTGAGACGGTCGAGCACAGATCATTAGCTCACCTAAAGTGGAATGATCTACCTCTAAACACCTACAATTCACCTGTCAATGGGCATTGCACGACTTAGGCAGGGGTTCTGAACAAAAACCCGACATACATCTCAGCAACGTGTAACCATCTAATGTCGATCGCACAGGCAACGTATACTCTTTTTGCATTCATGAAACTGTATTCTCTCATTAATAATGGTGGAGCGTATTTTTTTTAATTACCCTATATTTATTTTTAAATAAATATCCTAAACCTACTTTAGAATAATGCTCATCTTGATGAACATTTGACACACTAACAACGTATATGATATATTATGAGATAATGGTAATTGGTCAAGCAAATACAAACACTGTTTCAGATGTGGAATCAGAATGACGTTAGCATATTTCATTTACATGTTGCTATTCGGAAGATTCGATCTTCAATCACAACTCACAAAATGTTGTACGGGAGGGGAACGTATCCGTCGTCAACATGTTTGAGGACATACTGGACCACAGATTCCATTTCCGTTCTGTTTTTCAATTCAGGCAACCCGGACGAATTGAATTGTTCGTGACAGAAGGCTGCAGCTCCAAAGTTCCCATCGAGAGATCTATTTTTCGGCTTCCCCAGCAGAAAGCTCTTGTTTGTGACTTCAAAGTATGGGTACACTGCGAAAGAAATGATCAAATTAATGACTGGACTGGATATAATATCCAGTTGGAAAGAGGAGAATGTATGTCCTAACCTCCCTTGCAGGGTGTAAAATCTTCAGGATACCAGGTGAGATTCTCAGTACAGGTGAGTGAAAGCTGGAGGGATTCATTGTGAATGCAGTATACCATGGATCCCACAAGGTAATGGTCGGTGAAGGCTATGGCATCCTCGTCACCAGGCAATTTGCATGCTAGGATGGAAGACCCGGCATGAAAATGCTGAATACGAGTTCCCTCCAAGTACGAATGCAAAGGTAGGGAGAAAGAAATCACTTTCGGTCCCATTCAAGAATTGGGCATGTGGTCGAACTTTGAAGTCTGAAATTCGTCGCAAAAATTATTTGATTTTTAAATTAATTTCTCTCAGTCTTACTCTAACTCCTAATAGGTCAACGAAAACGTATGTGATACAATAAGCATCGAGAGCCAAACCAGAAGCCTTTTAGAAATTTGTCCCTTCTCAGCAAAAATACAGGGAAATGTCAGTTAATAATACATCAGAAATAAAATAAGGAACGGTATTCCCTAATTTTTAATATTACTTTGCCCCATTTGTTAATTTCATTAGTGCAATTATATTGGTAACATAATATGATACAGTGGACAGATGCTTACTTGTATTTGGTTGAGGAATACATGCCATGGATATATTTATTGGTGTCCATTCCCCATTGTTCTGACATGTCCATGTCTCTAGGGTATTCCCAGAGGAGAAGGAAAAGTTTTTCAGTCCACATTCTAACGTGACGTTGCTGCCTGGTGCGTACCTGCCCTCGGGATCCGCGGGCGTTGACACATTGATTGCCTTTGTGTACGGGTCGCCCTTGCGTGGCAAAAGAATCGGTGGGCAGAAGTCGCCTGGATCGGTAAGGAAAATCATCTCGGTGATCACGATCGGATGAAGAGGTTCTATGACTGCCTTCAATGGTCATACTGGATTCTTACACATAAAGATGAACCTTTTTTTATCATCTGGCTTCATTCAGTTCAGACTGAATCTGTTTATATTACCGATGTCCCAACATGGTTCAAGTCAATACAGTCGAACTCGGTTATAACGACGGAAGCGCCAGGTCCCGGTGTAGAGCCCATAAGGCACGTTACATTTTACCTCGGTTATAACGAAACCCCGGTTATAACGAAGTCCATTGAAGGTCTCACAGACGAAATAGACAACGTTTATGTCCTTAATCCATCATTCTTAACTAAAATTTCCGTCATCGGAAAAATTAGCGTTGGCGGGAAATAACTTTATATTTTCTGGATTCTGCATTCCTTGAGAGTCATGTGGCTGTCGCTGGAGCAATGTTAGGGAGGGATAATCCCCAGTAACTAAGATCACCTTATCTTCAGTCGCCATTTGCATTTCTCGTTGACAACTTGGCCAAAGGAAAAAGAAAGAGGCAAGCCCTCACGATTGAAATGAAAGTGCGCTTGTTTAGTTTTATAAAAAGAGCTCGAAGTTAAGCTAACTTCGCTCGCGAACATGGACATCTGTTCATCTGTTTCCACAATTTGGGAAAATCGTGACAGCTTCGTCCGTGCTTGCGAGGACATGTCACAAAACAAGAAACTTCCTAGGTCTGTCGAGATGACATCGACGAAGCCTTGCTAAAGTATAAAGTAGTTCAAGGTCCAAAGAAGTGCGAACATCACGATTAGTGGGTTAATCTTGAAACTGAAGCTAGTGTAGTATGACCAATGTAAACTGGAGTTGTAACGTTATATAGCATCAATTCTGAAAACAGGAAAACGGAGTGTCATTAAAGGCAACCTCGGTTATAACGACGGTTTTTACCTGGTCCCTTCGATGACGTTATGTCCGAGTTCGACTGTATTTAAAAAAAGTAAGACTTACCACCATTAAAAACTCATGCCTTTCTATCGGTATGTCTCTAAGGGGTACCTCAGGATAAAAGACTATTCTGTAGCATAAAGAATGAGATATTGGTTCACATCACAGTCAATGGGCTACCTTTAATGCAAGAACGAAGATCCTCAAGTTTGTATTCCCAGCCCAAAGATCCAAAGCATTGGGATGTCCGAAACGGAGACGGAGGGTTGCTAGGGGGATTCCATGCCTTCCAGAAAGGACAGACATAGGTCACATTGTCTCCTAGGGAATATCTCGTCTTTTCGTTTGCCAACAGCTGCACGTCCTGGTCAGGGGGTTGTTGCGGATTCGGGCAGTCTGTTGTAATGGAAGAGATACGATAAGGTGTGCTATTGTTATATGACGTAATTCGTAAGATGTTGCAAGGTCTATCCCTCTTCGTGTGTGGTTGTTGGTTATAAAACTAAATTTAAAAAAATGGTCTGAAACTAGCATGAATTGACCGGAAATCCCGCTTCTAGGGTTTTATTGGATTTTTTCCAACTATTGATATAACATCTCTCTACAGGCATACTTAGATAACTCCCAATACTGAAGCCACAACACATAGGTTATATAAGGGAAAGGAAATGGGGTAAGAATAAGCAACGTAGTCTCCATATTACCTTCCCCAAGGTGGACAAACAAATGTGTCTGAATTTTATCAAGCCCAGACAGAAAAACACATTATTTTATAATGCAAAAGAATACGATAGAAATTTCTGTCAGAAAACACCTAGGTTCCCAGTGCAGATACCCGCTTTTAACTCCATTTCGTTTGTTTCTTCTCATGAGAACTGCAGTTCCCTCCAATAAGAAGCGTCTTTTCAAACGATTGCACTTCCCTCCTGGAAGGGTTTTCTTCTTGGATCGAGGATGCGTTCATTGAACGAGCGTCTAATGAATCACTTCGCTAAAGTCACCGGTCATCGTTACTTTCTATTTTCTCCAGACTATCATCGTACATACCTCTAAGATGACATCTTCTACAGTTCACTGCACCAATGCCTTTTATCCGAAGAAGGAAGAGACTTCAGGACTAATTTTCGTGAATTTGCATAGCTTAGTTCGCTGGAATAACTGCCTTGCCGAAATTCATTCGAAGGCTGGAATAAATAGGTTTCTTTGCTAGATAGAATCCAAAAGCGGAAAAGGGGCATATAGCCACCAAGAAAAATTCAATGCCTTTTTAAAATCTTGCAAATGGTTTTGCTTTTCATCTTATTTTAAATAATACTCACGGTACTGGCCTCAAATTCGAGGGCAATACTAGCTATGCAAGCGCTATATGCCCCTTTTCCGCCATAGTTTTCCGACATGGCCCCTTTTCCAAATTTTCTCCCTCTCAAAATTTTCATCATTAGCACAGTGGTGCGTAGGGAAATTTGCTATTACAAATGCAAATTCCTAAATTTCCTATCATTACGTTCAAAAGTTACGGATCTAAAGTTATTCCTAGTATCATCACGCAATACTTTACCCAAGTTTTCACCAAGGTGGGATGATACGATATTCCCGGTGCTAATCATCGCTGCAGGTACTGCACTCAGACGCTGTTGGGTAATAACAACAAATTACGTGAATTTAGTTCTTTTTCACTTGATGGCATGTCTACATCCCAACATTAAAAATAGGAAGGGACCTTAGAGCAGGGGTCGGGCACCTTTGGCTTATGACCTAAATTTAGCTCACGAGCCAAGAAGTTTGGCTCATCGAGTCATGGCTGAAAATCATGATTACTCCTAATTTTTTTCTCATGCATCAATGATTGTATATGACTAATGTCAACTTCAGGAAAAAATATTTTATAAAATATTTCACTCAGAAGCACTTAACTTAATCTTAATATGGCTCACGTGGCCAAAAAGGTTCCCGACTCCTGCCTTAGGGCCTTAACCGTGGGTCAGGGAGGGTGATGAAGGGCTATACCAAAGCATCCAAACCAGAGCACTCTAGGAATTATGAATGATAAAAAAACTATGGCAGAAATAAAACTTGGTGGGTCGTTACCCATATTACGTTCGTAAAGGCAGGGAATCTTTTCAGAGAACGGCCTCATAAGGAAACTTCGAAGGCCTATCAGTACCAGACGTATCGAAAGAAACTACCTCGAGGGTCCGGTACTGACCTTTGACCGATACGTTCTCGTAGCAAAGGAACGCATTCAACTGACGTCCGCATTCAACATCGTTGATTCCGATCTCGTAGTTATTCTTATAGGCGAAGACACAGTGTTGATACTTTCCGTTTTTCACCACATTGAGGTCGCCATCCCATCCGTCCTGAGGAACTCCGACGATGTCTGTCCACAGTTTCTTCGCATGTCCCTTCGACAGAACGGCGCCCCGACTGTAGTCATTGTATGAAAATCAAAGTATTCCAATTAGGAAATGTTGGAAGACCTCGACTTAAAGAGAAAAATGAGCTAATATTACTTGAAATTTGAATGAGTATAGGATGATACTCCAAGCATACCATGCGTTCAGAACTGCATGCGCCTCTTACAGCCTTTCTACAGTGTCTCTAAAATAAATGTGCCTTGTTCGCCATTTAACGTCCGAGACCACTCAAGACTGATCGTCCTGTACGCTTGAAAGGCGCAGACTGAAGAGTTAGGAAAATTAGTTCATAGGTCCAGACAATCACTACGCTGCAGCTATCAACGAATGTTCCACATGCTCCAGAACTGCGCTTAAATTCGACATAAATTTGACTTTTTTTTAACAGGAGCTACCGCAAGAGAGGCGGATACAGTTTGACGATGGCTGGTGAGGTCACTTGCCTGTCTGTGACATTGGGAATGTGTCCTCCAAGTCCAACTTCATTCCCTCCTAAATTTTGTTTATCCAGGTAGACCTTGATGCGGCACAATTCGTTCTTGGAGGAAGGGATGGCAAGGCTTCCATTGGCGTTCATCTGACAAATCCTTTCGCCTTCCCAGAGGGCCTTCACCCCTGGTTTCACCAGCATTAAGTTTGGATCTGAAGAAGAATTCGCGATTGCCATGATACCCGGATATTATGGAGAGATTTCGACTTTTGCTATTTGTGGGCCCTACTGCACAGCAAATGAACTATGTGTCCGTGCTACTTTTAAAAAGACGACTCGACAAGAAAAATGTTATGTTGTCCTGACAGTCTTCGAGGTATACAGATAAAAAGTGAAACATTATGAAGGGAACAACAATTCCCCATGAAAGACTTCGAACTACGCGGAAAATAAAGTAAGATGGTTTTAAGATGGCTTACTAGGAAATATTTTAAAATCGATTCCGCGTCCTAATCTCTTAATTCGCATGTTTTTTTTAGAGAAAACTTGCCAAACGCCTGAGAATGAGGAAGAGGACCAGCTTCCTCATCTTTTCTCTCAAACCCCTTTGCATTTGAGACATTGTTAGGTGGTAAATTACGAAATCATGACCAAAGAAAAGCCCCAGAAGACTCATTCAATTGCTGGAACGTTTAATCGACGTACGGTAAGTGGCAGATCAGATTGAATCAGATGATGCATCCGCCTGGTGAACATCATCTTGATGCACGCTGGCCATCTCAAGCAACGCGCGTCTATCTAACGCTTGAACCATATGGCGACTTCACCTCGGCACGGCGTCGCAATTAGACAACGTAGCGACGAAGCGGCTAGAAGAAGTCGCCACATGGCCCAGAGCTCTCTTTTAATGGACGGCTGAAGCACGAATGCTAGCCAGAGATATCTCAACGCTTTATTTTAATGGATTAGGAATTGAGCCGTTCACTGTGACGAACTGCATCCTCTTCGGCACGAAAATTCATGCAGTGGACAATATGGATTTTGTTCCATCGCAACAATCCAGGCGTGAAGCTAATCGTAGAAATCTTTAGCCGATTTAATGTTTCAAGGACAACACTATTGTTTCCGTTCTAAGAAGTGCACCAAGACTGATGAACTGCATTATATTTTGAAAGAAAGCTGAAGAACGTCTCGAGTTCAGGAACGTCTTCTGACATCTTCGGAAAGCAATTGAAGCCATCGACCTGCAAGCCCTTTTAACCGCTTCCGTGAGTTGCCCGCCGCTGACGCAGGCGACGTTGTCCTTTTCAAAGCTGACTTGCCCGCATGAGACACGGGTGACTCGTGTTTTGTTATTTCGCTCTCGATTTGCCCGAATAAATTAATAAAAATATTACACACACATATTTTGTTCAAACTGTTATAGAATGAAAATTTACTAATAAAAAATTACATTTTTGGTTCAATTCATAGCAAAAAAGAGTAAATGATTGAAATATCCTTTTTCCAGTGGTTGAGGATAGGAGAAAGCTTTCTCAGCCCTAATGTAAGAAATGCGGATATCTCCGGTTTTCAAGCAAAATTTAGAGCAGCACATACCATTACTACCTTGTTGAGAGACGATCAGGGGCAGGAATAAGATGATCAGATTCACGTCGAGCCCCATTTCTCCACGTCCAGGGAGGATCAGGACGAATTTTAATGTTCAATCCATCCCGTGCGCTTGGCAGTATCCAATATATCCACAAACTGCGAATAAAGGTTCTGAGATTCCGTTCATTCACCTTCTGTGATTTGACAGGAGCGTCAACACGTTAGCCGGCGGAGAAATACGAGGACGCACTGAAAAAAACCTCAGGCTGTCCGATATTGACATGGCCACAAAGGAGGCTCTCGCCGATGATGGATGCATGTCCATGGATGTCCACCCCACCCACATCGGCGCCAAACCCTTCGAGGCCGAGCCCGTTGAACCGCGAGACAGACGAACATTAATGTGGGCGACGCTCCACGACGGGAGCATCGGCGGGGCGCCTTTGACGGGAGTGTGTCTCTCTGTCGGCATGATCAGTCACAGAATACATAATCGCCGACATTTACATTTTATATTAATCCACCTCTGCTTGGAATCATCGTATTCGAGTCATCGCTGCTCGAGGACGGACATCCATAATACTTTATGGCTTCCTGTGATACGACTTGGGACATAAAATATTATGGGTTTGTGGCTTATATCCTTTATATTCTTTATATTCACGAGGTACTTCCAGAAAGTACACTTTACGATTTATTGATGTATACAACAAAGGAAGAACCACTACTACAAGTCTCCCATGTAACGACATTTAGGGCCGATTGCATGAACGATGCTTTCCCGGTGTGTTTCGAAAGTCATCGGTTAACCGATGTCTAAGGCCAGAAAAATGGATTGCACGAACGCTATCTTCCTTTAACCATCGTCTAACCGATGTCCAACAGAAGCTGAAAAAGGTGCCGTTTCCAGACGAGGGATGAGGCATGTTTTGCCGATATTCATGCCAATATTCATGCCAATATTCATGCCAATATTCGTGCCAATATTCATCCCGATATTCCTGCCAATATCCATGCCGATATCCATGCCGATATTCATGCCAATATTCATGCCGATATTCATGCCGATATTCGTATAATGGATTCTGTTTCTGGATCCGCTCGGTAACGGAGATGTGCTCTCGTCGCCGCATGGGAGGAATAAACGTAGGTTCTAGGCTTAATCCCTTTCAAGATTATGTCGATTAGCACTTCCGCGTGAGATACCAATTTGGAAAGGGTATGATATCGATCTGCTTCGCGCTGAACTCGAATGGAACGGAGATCGTGGAAGGGATCCCTTTACATCGACGGATGAGAGCAATCGCTGTTCGGGTGCAATGAATCGTGATTTGTTCAAGTACCCATCCCCTGAGTAATTAATTAATACGAGTCGAAAGTAAAGAGAGTATGGTGAAAGCCTTCCGATTTGCATGTTGTGCTGACCCTTCGATTTTACGTCGCGTCGATTCGTAGAAATGGAATGGCGCAAGCCATTGCCCATTTGCATCGCTCGTTGCATTCCAAGGAGGAAAAACGGAGTAGTTGTACGAAGATAATTATTTGATATCGTCGGATTTCCAGGAGTGATCGGTGTCATCGACGACTGTCGTACTCGAACAGAATGCCCGGACAACTTTAGTCGATCGCAAATGCTTCTGTTTCATCGATGGCCAAGCAGTGCGCGATGCGGAAGGGATTATTGCTGAATCTGCCATCACGTGACCAGGATCCGCACGCAATTCTCGAATATCCTCATTTTGCAATCGTGCACAAATGATACTCCTATTTGTCAAATTTCCCACTTCTCCGCGTGTCCAAAACGAGTCGTTGGCTTTACCTCTGATATATCGAGATACAGAGTAAGGTCAGAGGAGAACTCACCAGTTTCCAGGCATCATTATTTGTTGTGCAAGGAAAGTGCGTTCTGTCTCTCTGTATCGCGAGATTCTCCTTCACGAGCTCTGCGAGATGTACTTAATAGTCTGAGGAAAGGTCCTCCTTTTTCACTTGATTCGATCGTGCTATATGTACCATGAGGGGTGTTTAGCCATCGTCTAACCATCGGCGATGAAAATATGGCTTAGGGAACGCTCACGCAATCGAAAGTAGACGGCGGTTAACCGATGCTTTCGTAGACAATGCTTAAGCAATGACTATCGATCATCAACGTCTAAAATAAACATCGTTCATGCAATCGGCCCTAAATCTCAGTCGTGTTCAATGATGGTTGCAGTCGTTTTGTTGACTGTGGGTGGACGAGGGTAATCGGGAACTGTACTTTTCCGTTCGGGTGAATACATTTCTATGGCCAGAAAGTAAGAGTCCTATGGGATTCCCATAGCATCCCCATTGAATTCCATTGGATTTTCGACGTCCAAAATCCAATTAGAATTTTCCGTCAGGGCAGATCTAATTTCCAATCACGATACGATCGAGGAAGCGGTCATCTCCCGTTTCATAGCGATAGGAGTTCTCCTTGCAACAGATGGCACGCTGGTCTTTCAGTGGAAGTGTCAATATTGAAACGGCCCAGCCTGTCGGCTGGGCCGCGGTGACTAGCCTGACCGGAGGGCTATCCTGTGTATATGAGGGAAGAGCTCTCTGTGAGCCCCCTATGGAGGTCGTGGTGCGTGCATGGCCACGTAGGTGTCCCGCCTGACCTCTGACCCTTGACCCCTGTCAAGTGTAACCCTTAGTAACCCTCTGGATGTATTTAGTTCTTAGCCACTTCTCTCTCCACTTCATACTGATTACCTGAGACTAGAGACAGAGTCATGTTTACATTTAAGCCAATACCTTAGCTTTCAAGTGTCAAGAAATGAAGGCCAGTGCAATAGGATCGGACGCACCTGAGGGATGAGGTTCCACCCCTTCTTGGAGTTCCAAGTTAGAGAGCTCATAAAAAAAAAAACTTATTGTATCTTACAGCGCTTGCCACCTGCGGGTGATAAGTCTGTCCCTCCAATCCTATCCCGGGATTAAACATACCCGTCCCCTTCTCCCCCCATCCCGTATCAAATCCAGGGAAAGAGTACCGTAGTGGACCACCAGGGGGCGTCCTTGTAACATTGAAAAAGGCCTTTTTTTCCACTTTTTGTAAACCTTGGGAATGTTTTATTCGAGAATAACACGATACAACATGAATTTTTGGACTTTGAAAAATCGTCAAATTCACCAATCAAACTATGGGCCGCCATCTTGAATGTAGGTCGAAAACGCTCACTTTCGAAGGAATAGTAATCGCCATTGCTGATTATGGATTCTCGCACAACATAACGTCATTCCGTCCATACTAAACTAAACCCTAACTAACTAACCTCAGAGAAGAAACTAAAACCGCGGAAAAAGGGGACCCGCATATCTTCTGTTTGGCCGAAAGAGTGAGGAAGTCAACGTGTTTTGGGGAATGATGGGTCAGTCGGGTTAGCAAATAATCGTGGCCTTCGGCCACGACCCTTTCCTAACCGCAACTGACCCATCATTCCCCAAAACACGTTGACTTCCTCACTCTCTGGCCTTTGACCCCGAACTGAGGGAGGGTAGAAATAATAGGGGTCCACTAACCGTCAGTGCGATGCCGAGTCTCACGAAAACAACGAAGATTAGGTCATAAGAAAACCCAAAACGTCCTAGAGACCCCTATTGAAGAACTCCAAGGTCCAATGTCATCTGCACTGTCTAGAAAACGGAATGACTCCTTTGCCTCGCCTGAAAAACACCTTCGACAACCGTGAAGAACTCTTACCGATCCCTTCTCTCTCGCCAGACATTTCATACCCGCGGCAATGTTTCGACTAGTAACAGATTATAATCATCTTCCAAAAAAACACGTTCCTCAATCCTAGACACAATTCCCAGTAGCAGCATTTCCATGCCTCCACCCCCCCCCCCGTCTATTACATCAGACACACTGCCCCCCTTTTCAATGCCGTCTGCCTCCCAGTAGAGCCTCTAACAGGACAAGCAATACCGAAAACCATAGCGACTAACGGAGTATGAGAAATTCGACCCTTCCAACATACTACCTTACGTTCTGTAATGACGTATCTCCTGTAAGGTTTTCCACACACAACAGTCTATCTCCCTATTCTACCCTTGTGA